AGTATGCTTGGACAATTACAGTTTTCTTCAAAAGTCTTTGTCTCAATATTGATTAAAATTTCACATGTTTATTGTATGGTTTTAGAAAAGTTTGCTTTACATTTCAGATGAATTCGACTCTGAAAATATGTGAAATATGCGGACATTGCCCCGCGCTGTACAAATGTCCTTCATGTTACCTCCGCTAGTAAGTAATACGAGTTATCACTTCTGACTTTTGTATAACTCTTCTTTGTGCCTTGTAGCTGCACAGTGAAATGCTTCCAGAAACACAAGGGTAAAAGCATTTTTGTTTTTTCAGCTGCAAAATGAAATTTTAAATTTGTCGCTATTCTTGCTTGCAAATTTATGTATGACCTTTAGAATGTCAGCCTCGTTTTAAAGTCCATGGTTAAATCATTTGTGGCACTTTCTTTTTATATTGAAAGTAATTTTATCTTTTGTGTACCGTCCTGAGATGGGAACGGCAGCTTGTTACAGTCCCGACTGATTATTCGCATTTTTCGTGTATCATAGTTAGATAAATGATTGCCGTTTCAAGGAAGGGAAATCGTGGTAGACTACATCCATTGCTTCGGCAGCATTAGATACTTCCTTCAATGAATAAGCACTTCTGGTTGATTGTATAACAGTGGAGATTGGAGGCACTGCGCAAGCTACGTGAAAGAAAGATGATTCTCACTCAGTTTCTGTGTCTGAGATTTTGCTGTGTATCCGGTAAAACTTTGCAGTCAGCACTCGCATCCCTTCTTCTCACACCTTCGTCTTTCAAGTTTTTCCGTTTTATTCGCTAGGCCAATTTTAGTCCACAGATTTTATGGGTCGTTATAAATGTTGAAATCCGCCATTCGCAGACAGAGAAATGTTGATCTCTTTCACTACTACTCCCATCACTTGGCCGAAACATCCAACGCCATGTAAAATAGATTGAGTGAAACCATTACCAGAACAGTCAGTGATCCCTACCTTCTAGTATCGCTATGCGAAATGAATTTATAGAAGTATTTGTTCAATATGTACAGATGGTTGGTGAGGCAGAATTCCAGAAACTTTTCACCATTCAGACTTATTTGGATGTCACCGTTCTTGCCGACTACATCGTTCCATCGCGGTTTAGACATGTTTCATGTGTGTTGAAATACCCAGTTAATTGAATGGATTCCACAGGTAATGATAAGCTACTCTTTTCAACGTTGAGAAATTTTTATTCTGCTTTCATTATGGCCAGAAAAGAGTAATGGTATGACTTCTGTCTTTTACACATACACTCGCACTATCGCCAGTATCCGCTCTCCAAGTTTAAACTTCAGTTTACGAATCCTTTTCCTTGAGGAATCCGGGAAATAACGCAGTTAGTTGGGACTCACCAGTATCGGCAGGCTTGGTTTAGCCGATATGGTTGGATCATGTCCAGAGCAAAAACGATAGCTTCCATCAATTTTCTAGGTCGAGGAACTCATAGCTGTGACAGCGGGAAAATGGAGAAAACTTTCGACTCTATCTAGGTGATAACCCTCCGCTTCTTCAACATATCCTCGATCGTTCCCAACCAAAGTTTAGACAGGCAGTTATCAAGGTTTGTTTTGCGAGCTCCGCCGGTTCCATCCAGAACATCCTTAGGTATTTCCCTTGCTTCGCCCTTCCCTCAGCTGCTGCAGTACAGGAACGGTGGATTGATTTGTCGCGTTGCATGGTTCGTTTTTGGCTGCCAAGCGCACAACCTTTCGAGATGCTAATAATTTTTCTAACTTCTTAATCTGCCTGAAGTTTGAAAGCATCTCTTGGTAATCTACACTTAGTTAGTGCAGAGTCGTGTCATTAGTGAATATTTGCATTTCCTAGATTATGCTCATTTTAAAATATTTATAACGGCTGATTTTATAATGCCATAGGCTCAATTTAACTCTTTGTTATGGTGGATAGGATTTTTGTATGCTAGAAAGCTGGATACTTCCTCACTGTCACACTTGAGTAAGGTGTAAAGAAAAGGCACCTCGCTGTTGATTCACTCTCATCGGTACATCTTAAATAGCTAGTGTTGTTTTAAGAATTCATAAAATTATTCAAGAAAAAAGTTGGTTTCTTGACATGGAGACAAGTCGATCATCAGTATGGCGATCATGTGAAAACACCGTTCGTGTTGTGAAGACAAAGCTGTAGTGCTCTTTTTCATGATAGTCCATTCAAAGCGGGCTTTTATCGATTAACTGTGTGCGTTGTTTAGGTACAGGATGAATTTCCAGTGCGAAAAGAGAAGTATGATATTATATCCTATGAGAAATATTTTATGAGTTTTTCTTTGTCTGTTCTGCTGTTTGCCTAAGCAATTTCACTAATGAATTCTTCTCTTTCTTTGAACCGGCGGTCATTTGACTGTCGTTGTTGATTTATAGTTTCATTTGTCGTAACAGACTTTACATTGCATAGACATAATTGCTGTACACTCAGTGATTGATTTTCCATTCTGTGGGTTCTCGGCGCCATTCCCAAAGTAAGTTTGTTTGAATTGACATGGTGATGAGAATAACCCTTTTAAAAATCGCTTCTGAGCATTTATTTGTATTGCCGATTTGTAAAGTGTAACTAAATGTATCGGGTTTATTTTCAGATTCCGAACAGGAAATCATTGCTTCTTCTGAGTCAAGCAGCAAATACGCTGGTAATTATTGCATAATTGGCTTATTTCCGAAAATTTATTGACTACTGATTTTTTTGTGATCAGTATGTACGATTTGTCTCACTACGTCACATCTCCCGTTTAGCACATAATAGTGCTTTTTTATAATTATAATGGTTTGATATAGATTTTAGGTAAGCATGGCGATATTTTGACTGTATGAATTTTTTATTGTTTTGTTACACTCGACGAAATATAATGTGAGTTGTACGAACGTCGTTTCAGCTCGAATCCTCTGCCAAATGTCAGTGAACTGTTTATTCTAGAATCACGCCGAGCATTTCGCAGTCTGAAATAATAAGGATCACGGCCTCATCCTTCACTTGACATATTCTGCACTTAGATTGTTTGGGTTTGCAGATTGTTTGTTCAGTGCTTGTTCTTGAACAGCTATTAGAAGGGCTCTTGTTTCGCATGGAGTCCACTTCTTCATAACCAGTTAAAACCCTGAAGGATGTCTACAAGTGGCAAAGACACTGTCCATGAAGCAGCTCTTTTTTCCAATCACTGTAATGGGCGTTCTCTACATTTTCCTGATGATTTTCTACATTGCCAGCTGTTTGTTGTTCCAGTTTGCACAAGCCGCTTACTCTTAGAGCCGTCAGCACCTTATCGTTCACTTCCGTTGCCAGATATTGCCTTAGAGATGTTAT